CTGTCATCTTTTCTCATTCTAAAAGACTTGTAAAAAGCTGCTAGGCAGGCTTTATTTTCATTTTTGCCAGAATACCCTTGTGTTTGATGACTTTTAGTGTAGGTCTGAGAAAATAAACACATTTCAAAGTTTTATGAATTGTTAAACATTTTGTGCAGCTGATTTTTGCGGAAAAATTAAGTAAAAACTGTCATTTTTCCTTCTACTTTTTTTATTTTGAAATAATTTCAATCTTAGAGAAATTTCAAGAATAGTACAAAGAAGTCTGACATACTCTTCACCCAGATTTACCAATGTAATACTTTGCCACATTTGCTTTATCATTCTTTTTGTTATGTGTAATTTTTTTTTCTGAACCATTTGAGAGCAAGTTCTAGACATCATACCCCTTTCATCTAAATATTTTGCTGTGTAGTTCCTGAGAACAAGAACATGCACTGATAATCACAGTGCAGTTATCAAAATCAGGAAGTTTAACATTGACACAATACTATAATCTACAGGTCTTACTCATATTTTACCAGTAGTTGTAATGTCCTTGATAGCAGGTTTTTTGTGGTCCAGTACAGGATCTTTTAGTTTTCAATGTCTCTTTATCTGCAAAGATTATATGCACCCATACCCCACCCAACCACCTGTTTCGCTTTATGTCACTGACATTTCTGAAGAGTGTATGCTATTTATTTATTTTTATTCAGGTAACATTGGTTTGTAATATTATATAAGTTTTATGAGTGTATATGCTGTTTATTTTTGTAAAATGTCCCTCAGTTTGTCTAAGGTTTCCTCACTATGTACATTCAGATTATTCTGCTTTGGCAGGAATACTACATAAGCGACTTTGTGTCCTCATTGCATCACATTAGCAGGTATAAGATGTCTGTTTATGCCGTTATTGGGACAGTTAACTTTGATCACTTATTTAAGGTGTTCATCAGGTTCTCCACTGTAAAGCTGTTTCCTTTTAGTAAGTGGGAAAATAGAGAGTGTATAAATATCTTATTCTTCATCAAATTTTCACCCTTCAGTTTTAGCATCCATTGCTAATTCTAGCCTAGTTCAGATATTACTATGCTGTTACTTACTTATCCTTAAAGTTATATAATGCTCAAATTGTCACACATTTGGGCAGTGGGAGGATCCTGTTTATAATCTGTACTTGTTTTTTTTTTTGCTGAGGAAGATTTGCCTTGAGCTAACATCCACTGCCAGTTTTCCTCTTTTTGTGTATGAGCTGCCACCACAGCATGGCTGCTGACAGATAAGTGGTGAGGTCCACACCTGGGAACCAAACCTGGGCTGCCAAAGTGGAGCGCGCCAAACTTAACCACTAGGCCACTGGGGCTGGCCCTAATCTATACTTTTAATGAGACTAATGTTTAAAAAACCTAATCTGATATTTAAAATCTTGTGAGTCATTTACCGTTTTTTTTTTTATTCATGCCAAATTAATTTATTTTATTTTTCAAGATAGTGTGATGTGAATTGGTGGTCTAGTGGTTAAGATTCGGTGTTCTCACCACCTCATCATCCCAAGTTTGTTTCAGGGAACCAAACCACCTGTTTGTTGGTTGTCATATTCTGAAAGCCATGTGTTGCTGTGATGCTGAAAGCTATGCCACCAGTATTTCAAATACCAGGGTCACCCATAGTGGACAGGTTTCAGCAAAGCCTCCAAACTAGACAGACTAGGAAAAAGGACCTGACCACCCACTTCTGAAAAACTTGTCCATGAAAACCCTATGACTTTCAGTGGAACATTGTCTGATATAGAGCCGGAAGGTGAGAGGATGGCCCAAAAAGAGGTCCCCTGTGCTGTACACAGGGTCGCTAGCAGTCAGAATCAACTCGATGGCACTAACAACCAAGGATGTAAATGCTTAAGTATCTTTGTAATCTCTCAGAAGATGGATGTTATCTTTATTATTTGTAAATATATAAGCTTATTTTTTATGTACACAGCAAAACTGTATTTGGAAAGAGAAGAGCAATTCAGCTTGCTGAATTCTATCAAAGTGATGTTTTCTTGTTGTTGATCAGGAGATTAAGGCAGCTAATGTCATTTGTATAATTTCCATAATTTAAAATAAACTTTATGGCATATGGCTGTACATTATGATGCAGGTTGTACTTGCCTTCTTGGTATCATTGTGTATTTAAGATTCAGGAATAGTTTTACATTATGTTTGGGGCAAAATTGAACAGAGAGGCATTTGTGGGGCATAGTAGCACATTATAAAGAGGAACAAACTTTCTGTTTAAAAAATAAGATGACGCAGTAAGTGCAGTTACACAATGCTGTGTTTTTTTTTTTTGTTTTTTTTTAAGATCGGCACCTGAGCTAACATGTTGCCAATCTTTTCTTTTCCCTTCTTCTCCCCAAAGCCCCTCAGTACATAGTTCTATATTCTAGTTGTTGGTCCTTCTAGTTCTGCTATGTAGGATGCTGCCTCAATATGGCTCGATGAGCAGTGCCATGTCTGTGCCCAGGATGCGAACAGATGAAACTCTGGGCTGCCAAAGTGGAGTGCGTGAACTTAACCACTCAGCCACGGGACTGGCCCCCACAATGCTGTTTTGAATTTATTCTGACTAAATATTTTAAATATCATTATTAAGCATGCTAATGAACTTACATATAAGTGTGTTGCTTAGGGAAAAACGGATTTCGCAAAGTCTGGGTTTTATAATTTAGTGGTAAATTTGGGGCACGTAAGTTTATTTGTATTCCTGGGGTTACAGTACGTTAAAATAAGTGATAATAGGCAGAATTTTTTTTTCCAGTTTTTTTTAATTTTTTTATTTATTTTTAAGAATGCTGAAAGCATTCTAAAGATTTTATTTTATGCTTTTTCCTTTTTCTCCCCAAAGCCCCCTGGTACATAATTGTGTAGTTTTAGTTGGTCCTTCTAGTTGTGGCATGTGGGACGCTGCTTCAGCATGGCCTGATCAGCGGTGCCAGGCCCGCACCCAGGATCCGAACCAGTGAAACTCTGGGCTGCTGGAGTGGAGTGCACAGAGTTAACCACTTGGCCACGGGACCAGGCCCCCAGAGATTTTTTTAAAATTATGTTTTTTTCTATTACAAATGATATATTCATTATCAAAACTTTGGGAATGTATATAGAAAGGGCAAAAAAAGGGTGAGGGCATCAGTACCGCAGCCCAGGAACTTTAAAATTTTTGACATCTCTTTTATGTTGAACTGAATTTTTTTCTTTTTTTCTTTTCTTAATTTTTCTCCTGCTTTTTTTTTCCTCCCCAAATCCTCCCAGTACATAGTTGTATATTTTAGTTGTGGGTCCTTCTAGTTGTGGCATGTGGGACGCTGCCTCAACATGGCCTAATGAGCGGTGCCATGTCTGTGCCCAGGATCTGAACCCTGGGCTGCCGAAGCAGAGTGCACGAACTTAACCACTCGGCCATGGGGCCAGCCCCTGAATTTTTTTTTTCTTGAATTGAGTTTGATTTCCAGAGATAGGAGTGTATGGGTGAGTTATTTTATTAAATTTGAAATTTCAAAATGGCTTACTTAAAAAATAATATCCCAGATCTTGGTGTGTTGGTGAGTTTATCCCTGAATTCTAGATACATGAAGTGGGACATCACAAAAAGAAGACTGTTCTTTCTGAATAAACAATTTGCTGTTTTTATGTCCATGGAGTAATTTAGTGGTAGAATAGTTAGTCCATCAGAAAGCCTCACTTAAATTTGTTGACTTTTATGTAAATATTTGTAATAACATGGTGTAGAGAAAGAGCCATATGGCTCTACATTTGAATCTTGGTTGTTATTTAGTTAGGTAACCTTGCTCAAGTAACTTTCTTGAACTTTAGTTTTCTTATCTCTAAAGCTAATACAGCTCTTACAGGGTGGTTATAAAAATTACTATGTACAGTGCCTGGAACATGGAAGCCCATTCATTTTGAGTCATATTTAACTTTAGAACCATAGCTACCATAGGGTGGATGGGAGCAAATGACTCTACTCAAATAGATTGATGAATCAAGTGTAAGTTCAGGCCTGTGTGCTCCTAACCACTTAATGCTTTTGCTTTTAAAAAGCATGTCAGTTGAGTCATATTTTTAAAAATTCCAATACATGAGATAGTGTGTGAAATGGAAGACTGTTTAGGATGAATTTATGAAAGGCTCATAAAGAATCATTGTTAGGGGCCGGCCCCGTGGCCAGTTGGTTAAGTTTGTGCGCTCTGCTTCGGCGGCCCAGGGTTTCGCCGGTTCAGATCCTGGGTGTGGACGTGGTACCGCTCATCAGGCCATGCTGAGGCGGCATCCCACATGCCACAACCAGAAGGACCCACAGCTAAAAATATGCAACTATGTACTGGGGGGCTTTGGGGAGAAAAAAAAAAAGAGATTCTTAAATGAGCAGTTAGATTTATTTCAGGGAAAACAAGTACTGCAGTCAGTTTTCAAAAACCACCTCTTAAGTGGATTTTAACCTCTCCCTAGGGAAAGGGAATGATGTTCTTGTCGTGGTCTAAGCTTTCTGTATGTCAGCTCATTAATTCTCCCACAGCCCTGTGAGATACGGATCCTCGTTTACAAACAAGAACATTGAGGTTTATGGATCTAAGGCCTTGGGACTAGTATGAGAAGACTCTCTTAATACTGTTAGGGTTTATATGCTGCTTCCCTCCTTCAGGCTATTGATGTATGTTTGAATTACTTCCATTAGGCCCATATTTTGAGGGACTGAGAAGTATTAGCCTAAACCATCTATAATAGGAAAACAACTCTGTTTAGTCATCTAAGAAATTTTAAAGTCGAAGAAAAATAGTTTTATATTAATTGGGATGCTTGAGTGTTACTACTATGGTTTAAAATATAAGAAGTTAAAGTCAATTTTTGTGGACTATATTCTATCTAGCACAAATAGTTAAATTTCTATTGTTATTCTATGAAGTTTTAATTCTTAAGCAAGACTGTTCAGATAAGTTTTAACTAATTCTTTGGTTTTTTTTTTTTTAACCTCTGTAGGAACGTCAAGGTCGTGGGAAATAAAAGGCAGTTCCGCACAGACTGCAGCAACGGTTGCATCTGCATATCCTAAGAGGAAAAAAATGACCTTCAAGAGAATTAGGACTTTTTTCTTAATTTCATTGACTTCAGAGACGATTGCAGACTTGCAGTTTAAGTATTGGAATTTCACAAAAGACATAGGACTTAACTGGAAAATGAAAAAAAAAAGAAAAAGAAAAAAACTAAACAAAAAATCCCTCTAGGTAGCTTAGGTGAAAAATGTCCCTTTTATTTTGGCTTTGGTTGTGATTTCAGAGCATAATGCTTTGTTTTTTGTCTTTTTACTATGTTTTTCCGGATTTTAAAGTCCGTAAGTGCATACAGTTTTCTCTAATTTTTAAACCCTTTCCTCCCCCCATTTTGACATTTGCACTTGGAGAACACTTGAGTTTCGAAGGTTTTGGGCCTCCACCCCAGAAAGTGGGAATTTGGTTTTTCCCTTCCGAACTGGAAGAACATTTTTATGAAGAATTTTTGTCTTGGAGAATTTAACAGTGTTACCCAAGGTTGTGTCTTTAAGGGTGGTTCATTTTCTCTGACCCTTTGTTACTCGAAGTAAAGTACTAGGAGTCCTAAGAAATGTTCTGTTCTTGTACATTATACTGATTAAGTCAGGATTAATTTGATTTCAAAGCTAAGAACAGTGGTAAAAACCTGTTTACAGAAATGCATTTTGGAAGAGAAAAATATTGTAAAACGTGTAGTGAATGTTTCTTCAGTTTCTTGTTCAGCCAATGAGGAAAGGGCATTGCCTTTCTTTTTACCATTAATCACTTCTCAATAAACGTGAGATCCTGTTGAGCATCACTTCTAGTACCATTTCTTAGTGTTATTTGAGTTTGCTATATTTTATGAAGGATTTGGAGTGTAAGGAGCTTTAAGAGGTGAGATGATGACTATTTTTAGAAAGTTTGTTGAGACAAAATAGTTCAGACTTGCTTTTGTACCCAAGGCTGGATAACCATAACCTCTGCAAAGCAAGGTGGGCCAGAATTTGTAATGCTTTATTTCTGGATACTTCCCAGAGAAGGTAGAGCTAAATCATTGAACAGATATTTGACTGTGTTTATTAGATGCCAGGCACTGTGCTCACCGTGTGGAAGCCTGGCCAGATAGCTTATGTGTAAAATAGCTAGAGCCCAGTATCAAGGATGTAAGCGTGCATCTGAAATACGGCTTATTTAGATAGGATTCCGCATGGATGCAGGTCCAAGAATAAGAAATTGCAGTGGCCTGGGTCTTTGTGAACCAACCGTATAACCGTAATGGTATTTGATTCATCCTTTTTTATTTTCTAAGGTTTAAGGCTTCTCTGCCTTAAAGATTTTTAGCCCTTAAGATGTCCCACTTTTGGAGAGTTAGTTAAATGTGTGAGAACTTACATAATAAAAGGGGGTTCTGAAAATGGGTTTTAATACTGTTGTATAGTGTTTGCCCTCAAATGACTTATTCATATTATTCTACACAGCCCAGGCTACTAAATCAAGGGTGTGATAAAAGTAATAAATGCTGATTTGTAATTAGCATTATAGTCTAGGTGAGAACTTTTTGCTGCTTGAGGCACAGTACAGTACACCTAAATTTTTTATTCCTATTTGCCAAGCTTTTTGAAATAGATTCCCCTTAAACAGGGGCATCCTTTGTATTTTCATCAGTTTGAAGATGCCCAATTTCTGAATTAGAAATGTAACATTCAGTGTTTTCAATTTTAACTCAAACTTCTGTGACTTCTAGAGGACTCCCATGGACTTAATTGTTTAGTACTTCACCTTCAAAAGGGAAAATATCCTGAGAAAAGCAAATTCAAAAGCAATTTTACCTAGATTTTCCTACCTTGTATTCAAGTTGGACATTCAAGTTGGAGATATTCAAGATGCTTTTTTGCAATTTGAATGTTAAAGTCAGTGCTTCTCACTCTTTCTTTTCATGTCACAGATTCTGGTATGGCTTTGGGAGCACACTGAAGGGAATTTGGAGCCCCTGACAAGACAAGGCTGCTCGTCTAGCTCTCCCTGAGTGCTGATGGGGTTGGGATGTTGGATTTGTGTGTTAAAAAAACAAAACAAAAAACCCGAACATATTGTCCTTTAGTATAAAAAAGAGTTTGTTCTAAAAGTTGGTTTGGTGAAGACCCCAAAATGCAGCTAAACTAATTTTTTTATTTACTAATGACAGCTTTGCTAGTGGAAATTGTTGACTTTTGACTATTTGCACTCAATACTTCTGTCATTTGTGAATGTAAGACTTTGGATAGCCATGTTTGTTTATTTTTCTCCTTTGTTAAAGATGAGGGGAACCTGAATAATCTCACCACATACCGTTAGTGTCAATTCAAAGCATTTTAAACCTTTAATATGAACAAAACGTATAAATCTTTTTTTTTAAAGGTTCTACTTTTCGTTTTTCTCCCCAAAACCCCCGGTACATAATTGTATATTTTAGTTGTGGGTCCTTCTAGCGTGGCCTGATGAGCAGTGCCATGTCCGTGACCAGGATCCGAACCAGTGAAACCCTGGGCCATCAAATCAGAGCGTGTGAGCTTAACCGCTCAGCCACGGGCCCGGCCCCAAAATGTATAAATCTTACATTCACTCAATTTAATCTTAGTTATATTTGACTGGCTATCTTCCCTCAACATGTTCCATTTTTAAAAAATTATTTTGGAATAATTTTAGACCGTTATGAAAATAGTATGGGGAGTTCTCATGTACCCTTTCCTCAGCTTCCCCCAAATGTCAACATTTTATATAACCTTAATGTGGTTATCAAAAACGGTAAATATTGATACAGTACCATTAACTAATCAACAGATCTTATCTGGATTGTGCCAGTTGTCCAAGGAATGTCTTTTTTTCTGGCTCAGCGTCCAATCCAGGATCCCACGTTGTGTTTAATTGTCCTTAGCCTCTAACCTGTGAGTTCTTCAGTCTTTACCTTTTATGATTTTGACACTTTTACAGAGTACTAGCCAGTTATTTTATAGACTGCAGAACTGGATTCGTCTCACATTTCATACTATTGATTGAGATTATTTTTTGACTAGAATACCGCAAAAGTCATGTACCCTTGTCTGCATTATATCAGGATACATGATGTCCGTATGTCTTCTTACTGGTGGTGTTAACTTTGAGCATTGGTTAAGGTAGTGTTTGCAAAATTTCTCCACTGTAAAGTTTCTGATTTTCCCTTTGTAATTAATAAGTAACTCGTGGCGAGAGATACTTTAAAACTATCAGTCTTTGGTTCTCTAATTTTGACATCTTTGGATTGTTATTGCCTGCAACAAGTATTACCATGGTGTTTGCCAAATGTTAATTCACTGTGTATGTTGTTATTCTACACTTATAAGAATTAGAATCCTACTATGAGGAGGAGCTGTCCCTTCTCCCCATTTTATTTATTCAGTTATATCAGTGTTTACTTAGGGATATTTTATTCCAGGGGACAATGTTACTTATTTTTTTCCTCAAATTTGTCCCAGCTTTGGCCATTGGGAGCTCCTGCAAGGTGGCTCCTGTGTCTTTTTGACATGCCCCCAGTGTTTTTTGGAGCCCTTCCTTACTTTCTCTTCCTTTCTAGTCTTATATTTTCCCTGCCCCAGCCTTATTTTTCCAAGAAACAAACGTTCCTTTTTTGGGAGAATATTTAGGAACCATCTTTGATTTTTTTTTTTTTTTAAAAGCAATTCTTTAAGTAGCAACAGATTGTAAAGTGAGGTTTTTATCACTGATGTGCGTGCAGAATTATTTAGCCTAATCAGAGCACCTAACCACTTCAGTTCTTCCTCCCTTTCCTAGTGCCATGTATGAATCTTCTGGAGTCATGGAGAGGGCGTTCACTTGACATACTCCTTCACCTAGAGTGAGACCCAAAGAATGTGGCCTGGTTTGCACCCTTCCATAATTTCTACCTTTAGCCTTGTGAATAGAGAGCCAAGGTGTTGGAAGTCCTAGTTTCTACCCCACAACTATTTTAGAGGTTCAGAGCTTTTTCTACCTGTGAGAAAATAAATGGTCATATACTGAAGTTTTCTGTTGTTTATTATAGAGCTAATATAGCACTTGAGTATTGCTTCTTATTTTGATCTTTAATTGAAAAATGATTTATTTGAAATGTCTGTCACGAATGTAGGACCCTTCGTTCTGAAAATGAGACTGAGAGTAAGTGTCCCTAGGGTTCAGATCTGACAGGGTTTACAATGTTTTTTTCGTTGTAAAGTAATACCACTTTCCTATGACTGTCACTCATTGCTAGTGGTTTCTGAGCATCTGGTGAAACCCTGAGAAGCCTTTCCTTGGAACTGTAATACTCATTACAGCTGCTGGGTTTGCATGCAACGTGGAAAGCTGACATGGCTGTGGGATAAGCCATGCACAGCCAGGTCAAGTGGATTGGAGAAGGTCCCGCAAACCTGCTGGCCTCTGCTTCCGGGTTTCCGGGACTGTGCTCAGGGCGTTACCTCCCGCCCCGCCCGGCTCCGCCCGGCCGCGGGGCTCGGGGACTGACGGCGCGTGCGCGAGGCCCCCAGACGCGTGGTTGGCTGCCGCGTTGTGGCCCGCAGGAGCTCTCCCTGCTAACCTGATGCTCTTCGTGCTCCCGCGACCCTGCCAACTCTAGCCCGCTGTAGCCTGCGGGGCCTCTCTACAGACCCTCTGTTGTACGCTTCCCCCTGCCCTGACCGAGTGCCTATTCTACTGCGGGAAACTGGATCAAGATGGTGTCTGCCATTGCTTTTGCACCTGCGCAAAAGCCGGTCCCCGTCCCAAACCCCTTAGCCTCACAGGTGAGCTAGGTCCCCTGAGGGCCGGGGAAATGGGATTTCGAGCTACCCTGCTGCGGGGCAAAGATGCCATTAGTGTCAAGCATGGCTTACGCTTCTACCTTTTTAAATAATGCTCAAAAATAATGGCTAAAAGTTCGAAGGGTATTACTCTGGCCCCACCTACTGGCCATAGGCGCTGTACACGTGCTGGAAAAAGAAAAAGTTAAAAGTTGCACTTTAAGGGTGAAGCTCCCTGAAGAAACTCTCAATTTTGTTGGTTGGTTCAGTTTTGCATGTAAGTGTAGTCATCTGTTTTTTCTATGCAGTCATTCAGCCTGTATTTTGTGAGCCCCTGTTGGTGCTATTGGTCACTAGGGGAACGGGAACTAAGATTCTTGTCCTCTCAGAATTCAGTTTAAGGATTACATTGTAACGATTTGGAGTTGTGGGAGATACACATGGGGTCCTGTAAGAAGAGAAGAGAGGCATCTACCCAGAAGATTGCTCTTTCTCTATTGGATTTTCCTTCCTAGCTTTTCCTTATCTCGGTGGAAACCACAGGAGCCCCTTGCCTCTTCATCTGCTTCACAGCTTCAGCTCTCACTCCTGGCTACTCTGCTCCATCATTAACCAGCTGTGTGATGTTGGGCAAGTCAGGGGATTGCTCTGAGCACACGTTTCTTCATTGGAAAGAGGAAGTGATGTCTGAAGCCATTTGTATGATTTTTGCAGAGATTTAAATTCATTTTAACTAAGTACTTTTCTAATAAAAAAATTCAGACAGTTACATATATAGAATAAAAGTAAATATCTTAGTATAACAGTTTGCTATCCTTCTAAACCTTTTATTAAAGAACTTTTGCTTTATGACATAAAATCAGCATATATAGCATTGTGTATTCCTAAATATATATAATCCACATAATTTTAAGTTGTTTTACAAAAATGGAATAATGCCAAACCATCTGCAGAGTTCCCCTGCCCCCCTTAGTCACTATTCCATGAAATTTTTTTTTCCTTCTTTCCCCAAAGTCCCCCAGTCCAT